ATTAAAAGTTCTCCTCACGACATTACATTCGCACTCGGAATTCGAAATCAAAGCGAATGCAGAAAAGAAAGGGATGTGTTAACGAACAGATGGATGGTCACATTTGACCCTGGAATATTTGCAAATCACTTTCAGCTATTTAAAACTGTAAAAAGTAGAATCTGAATGCTTAGGAATCCAAGGATACAAAAAATATTTTACTTTACAAACAGCACAAAAATATAATACATCAAAAAAACTTTACAAAACACAATGCATCATAAAGACTTTACAAAGCACTATACTTTACATGATATTTTACATAGTTTGTTCTGGAACACAAAAATAATAACTCCCATCGCCCATGTTATCCAGAACTTCTTGCATGCACAGATGTTCATTGCTGGCTTCATATCGCGATGGTACATCTGTGCTCTTGCCTTCCTAAAAAACCGTAAATTTAAGTTAAAATTTTTCAGCAAAGATAAAATGTTGTAAGCATTCTGCAGCATATAAGTCCCCATCTACAAACTATTATCACATAACAATGCTCCATCCCAATTTTCTTGCTCAAAAACGCCACAGGAGACAAAAAAATAAAAAAAAATAAAAAACTGTTTGGAGGCGATGCCGTCGAATCACTATATAAAGGTGAACCTACTTCAGAAAAATAAAGTCCTGATGATGCTATGTAGCCCATTTACGCCTCTGTTGCAATAACACCGAGCCCTACAGGCACATCGAAAAAAACTGGCTCCAGGAAACTTTGGACTCACCTTACTTGCAGCAGCCGTAAATTCAACAGCCTCCCAGAAAATTTCAAATTCAGGGCCAATTCGAAGGCAACACCACGCAGCAAAAAGTTCGCCTTTTCTTGCCACAGAACCAGCTGCACCCATAACAGTTCCAAGCATTGGGGAACTTCCATAAAAATCATCGCCACTTGCGCGCTCCAGTTTAATTTCTGATAACGCCTAAAAAAATAATGACATCAGCAACACTTGTTCTTATGAAACTGAAGTGAGATAAAAACAAAGTACAGCAACAGAAGGCATGCATAAAGTTTCACTTTTTAGTAGTATTTACGACAGAGGCCATAAATCCGTAACAATTTAACGATGAAATATTAAGAAAACTTCCCGTAGCTACGAGTATAGCTTAACTCGCCGGACGAAACTTGCTACTTATCTAGCTGATAAAGGAAAAACGATGTTAATCAATGTGCTAATGCCATAAAATAGTGCATGCACGTGAATTATAAAAAGCAGCACGAGAGATTAAAGAATCTATGCCCGATTTGTTATCATATTTCAGTAACATTAAAAAACCCAGCTGCCAACGCACAACACTGCCGGTGCTATTATGCATTTCTTTTTCGGGCAAAGATTCTTGTTTCTAAGATAAACAGTTCAACGCAAAGTACTTGTTGCTAAACAAATTGAAAATGGCCACCAAATTATATATTATCATAGCATTTTCAACAAACATCATCGTGATCCATGCTTTAAAAATTTCAGCACTACAGCCGCTTTGGGTGGCGGGTTAGGTCAGATTTCATGCGCTCGTATGTGAGGTAAAAGTGAATGTTCATCAAATGTGCGACTGTCCAAATTCGGTGGTGCACCATGCTCAGAAAATTTCAGCACTCTGGCTGCCTTCACTGTGAGGTTACGTTAAGCCCCGAGTGTTCGTATGTGACGGGGAACGCGGGTGTTCTTTTCAAGTGCTCCTACACGAACGCAGTCGTTAGCCATGCTCAGAAAATTTCAGCTTTCCGACTTTCTTGGTTGCGGGCCATGTGAAATCCTACATGTTCGTAATTGAGAAGTGTGAGTGCCGTTTTCAAGCGTGTTTGAACAAACACGTTCTTAGGTCATGCTCAAAGAATTTCAACACTTTATCTGTTCCCGCTGCAGAGTAATGTCAAATTTTACGTGCTCGCACCTGAGACATAAGAAGAACGTAAAAGCTGCTTTCACATCCACCTGCAAAAAAACGCTCGCCTACCACGCTGAAAAATTTCTGCCCTACGACTACTTTAGTCCC